ACTTGTTTGTTTGCGTGTGTGTGTGTGTGTGTGTGTGAGAGAGAGAGAGAGAGAGAGAGAGAGAGAGAGAGAGTTTTCCATCGATAGGATGAGCACAATCGAATGGATCTACCTCTAGAACATGGAAATATACACTGGCACTACTTGTTTGTTTGCGTGTGTGTGTGTGTTTATGCGTGTGTGTGTGCGTGTGTGTGTGTGTGTGTGTGTGTGTGTGTGTGTGTGTGTGTGTGAGAGAGAGAGAGAGAGAGGTGGGCGCCCACCTTCATGGCTGCCCGCTGCTGTCTGCCGCTGCCCGCTGCCGCTTCCCACCACTGCTTCGAGCCGATGTGCCCCGTCGTGTTGCTCCCTCCCTCCTTCGTCGCTCTCGCCGTGTCCCTCGCTCCTTCCCTCCTTCGTCCGCCGATCGTGCCCCACCGTGTCCCTCCCTCCCTCCTTCCCGCTGCTGCTCAAGCACCTTCCTGCCGCTGCCGTCCGCCGATGGTGCCCAACTTCGGAAACAGCCGTCCCCGCCTCCGAAACGTTTTGTGGGGGAAGGATCTGCCGAATTCGAATTTTCGAATTCGAATTCGGCAGGCCCTTCCCCCAAAAAACATTTCGGAGGCGGGACGCGGCCGGTTTCCCGAGTGGCGCTACCCAGGCGTCAATTTTGCCGGGGTGGGGGCCCGCCGTCCGAATGAAAACCTGATTTTTTTTTTTTTTGCCACTCGTATTTAATGCTGTGCGCGGCGCTCCGTGCGCAAACCAGCGCACCGACTTGCGCCACAACTATGATGGCGGTATTTGGAAAATTACCCCCCCTGCCAAAAAAAATCAGTTGGACTCCATCTTTGCAATGTAACCCTACCGGATGCTGCCCAAGTTTGCAAAATGCGCCGGCAGTTGCCAACTTTCGTAGGTGCAATTGCAAGAGACCAAGAGAATTTGCACGCCCACCTGACAGGGACATTTTGACATATATGTCAACTCATGGCGGTATTTGGAAAATTACCCCCCCCTGCCAAAAAAAAAGGAGACTCTCTTCGCCCCCCAAAAAAAGAGACATTCTGTCTCTCTCTCTCTCTCTCTCGCTCTCTCTCAATGTGTGTGTGTGTGTGTGTGTGTGTGTGTGTGTGTGTGTGTGAGAGAGAGAGAGAGAGAGAGAGAGAGAGAGAGAGAGAGAGAGAGACAGAGACAGAGAAAGAGACAGAGACGTGTGTCTGATTGCTTCGGATTTTGGTCATCCTATTGATGGAAGTAGCCTCTCTCTATCTCTCTGCGTGCATGGCTGGAAAAGTCTCTCTCTCTCTCTCTCTCTCTCTCTCTCTC